AACTGCAGGAAAAAGAGCAGCAAACAGATAAAAGCTGACACCCAGAAGGGAGCCTGGCAGCCATTTTGTGCTTTTCTCTGCTCCTTCCCCCTCCTCTCCCCGCCTAACAGCTGATCGGCTGGCTCTGAAGAGGCTTGGGGAGGCTTGCTCAGCACCTAAAAAGCCTGCGTATGTGTCTTTGTGCTGATAAAATCAGCACAACATGCTTTAAAACATGCTTTAAAATTGGCTTCGTTGAAAAAAAAGATTTCAAAAGTGCTTTTAAAACTGTTCCCTGCCTCCCCCCTCCTTTCCTGAACTTTTCTTGACCTAAGAAAAAAGGAAAAAATATCCCCCTCTAGTGGCAGAAGGCGGAATAGTAGCTTCCCATTAGTTTCCCATTAGTTTCTTTGGACAGAAAAGAGCAGATACGGATTAAATGGTTTTCAATGCATTCCTATGGGAAATGCAGATTGGACATACAAACTTTTCGACCTACGGACCTCCTTCCAATACGGATTAAGTTCGTAAGTCGAGATCCCACTGTATGCGAAGCTTGTACAAAGCAAAAGAACGCCCTGAAGTCTTTAAGATCTAAACCAGTGTCATAGTATACAGTCTGACCTTCATTCACTGTGCAGCATTTGGCCTGTAGCCAGTGTTATTACAGTCAGCTTCATTTCCATTAGGCCTATAGTAAGACCAAATGGCCCACCAGCTCAGCATAGTCTGTGTGACAGATTCAAATTCAAAGCTATGGAATGCAGATCTTTCTCATTAGTATTATCTGAGACATCAGGACCAACTTGAGGTCTCATACATTAGAAGGTGCAATAAGAGACACTGCATGCCCATTTTTATTTCATAATTTGAATCTTTGTGATTTTCAGAGATTTGAATGAATGTAAAATTCACATGGTACATGGTAACTTTACATTATTTTTGTTCAACATAGTTTCATAGTCGTAGTTGTAGAAGTAGTAATATCATATTCTGCATTTTTCAGAAAAACAAAAGCAGCATTCCAGGTGGTTAAAAATAGTAACACTGAAATAAAAGCAAATACAGTTACAAAGTAAAACGGGGGGGGGGGAGGGGGGGGAACACAGTTAAAATATGTCAGTGAAAAGGGAAAACATACCAACCCCTTCCAGCAGCTGTCCAGCTTAAATGCCTTTGCCTGTCTGAATAAAAAAGGTCTGTGCCTACAAGTGGAAGGACATAAAAGGCACCTCTTTGGAGAGTGGAAAGCATTGCAGGTGCATTTGAGCACCCCCTGGGCAACAATGTACAGCCAGCCAATCCAGAATCATGGCACTGCAGACTTGTTGATGATCAAAATGATCCAATGGTCCATTTAGAACTACAAATTACATTTTGTGGTTCCTGAAATACCCACAACAACCAACATTTTAATTTGTTTTCAGTTTTTGCCTATACTTCATGGGTGTCCATAATTTTAAACTGTGCGATGCTATGAAAGAAAAGACAGACAGACAGACAGACAGACAGACAGACAGACAGACAGACAGACAGACAGACAGACAGACAGACAGACAGACAGACAGACAGACAGACAGACAGACAGACAGACAGACAGAAAGAAAGAAAGAAAGAAAGAAAGAAAGAAAGAAAGAAAGAAAGAAAGAAAGAAAAGAAAATGAAAGGGTCTCTATAGGAGCTATAGGATCTCTGTAAGGGTGTTCCACAAAGTATGAGTGACTTGCAAACTGGGAAAAATCTAGGTAGTGTTTTTTACATAGAAGGTTTCAAAACATTTTTCAAAGTCAACCTCTGATAGAGTACATCAGAGTAATCTGGGTGAGATGGGATATAAGGCACGTGTCGCTAATGCCAGATCTAATCATATAATTTGAAACAATGTGTTGGAGCCATAGGTTAGTGCCTATATTTTGAGCTCATGAAAGAGTATCAAAAGTGGCCCCCAACTTATTTGGATAGTTTTTTTCACCATGCTCCTGAGGCCTCAAAGTAGTTTTGTGAACTTGCCCTGTCTTTTCTGCGGTAAAATGTTTTGCAAGAAAGAGGATGAAGTCTGAGATGGACTTCCTCACATGCCAGATATCACAGTGGTTTAAGTATCTGGCTGCAGAGCCATAGGACAGAAGTTTTATTTCCCACTGTGCCTTCTTGACAGGGGTTGGACTCAGTGATCCCATAGGGTCTCTTCCAGCTCTGCAGTTCTAAGATTATTATTATTATTATTATACATCATTGGAACTTAAGATGACATTGAGGAGGAAACACATGCCTTTTTCTGAGATTTGAGATGAGTGTTTACTTGAGTTGGACATAGGAAAGTAAGTTCTCTGGCAGCAGCAATATCAGCTTGCAATTGTGTCTTTTAGGGGAAAAATGTCCAGGATGGGACATGATGTATCCAGGTGATGGTATCTTTCAAACATTTTTAAAAAGTATAAAGCTAGGATTAGAAGCCTATGTGACCCATAATGCTGAAGCCAAACTCCAATAAAATAATAAATACAAATGCTGTGTTTCTCTCTCTAACAAATTCAGATTAAAGGACTGGCTTTTACTGTAGTGACATGCTATTAAAATATGTGTAATAAATTTATTCTAACTAAAATTGATCAGAATGAGACAGTAACAGACAAAACAACAAAGAAAAGTTAAGCTTACCTGGAGCATGCTTTGCTTACTGTAATAATCTTGATGCAACATTTCTCATTACAATAATTGCAACAGAATAAAATTTCATCTCTTTGACCACGGGAAAAAGCACTGAGTTTTTATTTATGTTGTATGGTTAATGTTTTCAGTAACCTTTTGAGTGTAGCAGAATAGTCCAGAAGCCCGGATTTCCTGCTCTGTACTGAGCCTAACACATTTGTGGCTCTATTGTTATAGCTGCTATAGAAAAAGAGACTTTGGGATAAACTATGACAGGGTGGAGAAGAAGTTGCTTTTGTTTTGATGGGACAAGGGGGTCAACAAAAATGATTGACAGAAATCATAAGCAACCAATGTTAGAAGTCTGTTGGAGACAAGTGGATATAATTGGAAAATGTTAGAGAGAATAAGGGATAAACAGTTCGGAGATGAGGCAACAAAAGGGGGGAGACTTCAGCCCAATTGTTTCCAAGCTTGGGGCCCCACATATTTTTGGAAAACAACTCTCAGAAATACTATGATTTCTACAACTTGTGAGAGTTTTTGTTCTTCGTTAAAACAAGTCTTCCATTGAAATGAAGTAGAGAATCTACATGGACATGTTTTATTAATGCAGCTTCTCTATTTGTGCTAGAAGCCCTTTTTTTCACATTGTGGCTTGTGTGGGGAGGCTAGAAAAACAGAACAACCTCCTAGTCTTCAAACCATGACTTTTGCATTATAAAAGCAGCAATGGGAAGTGAGGGGAGAAAGCTCGGTCTTGTCATGTGTCTTGTCTTTTATAAAGACTGGATAGGACTTTTGGGTTAGCATGGAAGATATAAGAGAAAAAAAATGTTGGTTAAGACAGATTAGAGTGCAGACTGTTCAGCTGAGGTTAAGCTTTCAAAAGAGATCCTGGCTTGTCATCCAAAGCCCAGAAGATTTATGGCACAGCTCTGAAGAGAGGGAACTTTTACAAGTGGTTGCTGAAACAGAACTATCCTATGAGCCAACTGAACAGATAGAGACTTAGGAAGACTGCTGTTCCTAGTTGCAAGGGACTGGCTGGAATAGAATTAAGGAAAATCTGGACTACGGAAAAGCTATAAGGAGCTTATTTGATTATAGGAGATCCTTCCTTTTTAGGACCCGTAACCAAGGAGACTTAATCTATGTGCATTTAATCAGTCTTTACCTATATTTCACAAATAATACAATTCTTGCCTAAATAAATAGTTTTGTCTGCCTTGCATCTAGCAGTATCAAGTCCCAAAGCCTGTCATGGGAACCAGGGTACTTGATTTCTAAAAAGTAGAAAACGTTGATTTTTGGTGGCAGAAATTAATATTGTTATAGCATGGACTGCTTTGTGGCAGAGAGTTCTGTAGACTCACGTCTTAGTATTTTAAGAAAAGAATAAAAATGGAATAATTCATGGTGTATATTCTCGACATTTGGTTGAATAATCCAATCCACTTCACAAGCTGATTTGAAAATGAAAAATATTTTACTGTCTAGTGCTCCACTTATTTAATGGGGTACTAGAATTAACAACATATTAATTTATGGCTGAAACAATGCCCAAATCTTGGTGGGTATTTTTGTGTTCCCAAGCGGAATCACAGAATTTGCTGCAGCTGATGGCAGCTGATTCTGAAATAGCTGAGTTTATAATGATACATGAGACTGGCTGCACCTTGGCAATCAGCAGTGACAACATTCTCTTGCACAAATATGTATCGAGTCTATTCTGGCCAATAAGCATCTGCAAATACTATCAATTTCACTTGGAAAGTGCCTTTTTAGTCCATATTGTGACTAAAAAGGCACTTTCCAAGTGAAATTGATAGTATTTGCAGATGCTTATCATCATATTGTGTGAAATATCTGTAAATGACTGGGGTAGGTTTTATACTTAAACAATGTTTCTAATTTATTAACAGAACTATGGAGATGGGACTCCTTATGAACATATGACAAACAGGGACCTTGGATCACACGACAATCTATCTCCTCCTTTTGTGAATTCCAGAATACAAAGTAAGCAGTATTAACATTTCTACTCTGGCTGTGTGTCATTACAAATGGCTGTATTGTCTCACTTTAAATGGAAAGAAAACATTACCATCCTTCCCCCTTGGGCTTTTAAAGTCTCTTCTGAAAATCTATATTTTATTGTGAAAGTTACTGAATGCCTATTCTAGAGCATCAATTTTTAAAAATCTTTAAAGTGGTATAAAATATTTTAAAATAAACAAACAAGTGACTCTGGGACACTGAAAAATGAATCAATCACAAAATCAATTGTTTCAGTTGATAGGAGGTTAACTACAGTACCTGTGATCTGCAATTGATGTTTTTTTTTTTAAGGTGTGACTTTTCCTGTAGGAAATTGTTTTGCATTAAGGCTGACCGTATCTTCAACATGCTCCACTTCTGACAGTCTGCAGTATTTTTGGCAACTCTGTGCCCTCACAGCTGGCTAATGCTTAATCACTATCATTCTGGCTTGCTGTGATGTTTCTGAAGCAACAGTATTGTCTGTGGGAAGAAAGTTTTTAATTGTTTGAAAGTGCAGATAGGAACTTTTCTTTAATCACATTTGATAAATGAGTTTGGTTAAGATAAATATGTGATGTTAAATATTAGTAATCGTCTTTGCTGGCCAAGATCATACCCTTCTCCTTGCACTTGTTGATGAACTGCCTGAGATGTCTTGATTTCAAACATCTGAAACTGAGCCAAAAAACCCCCCAAAGAATTGTAACTGTGATATATCACTATGGGACCAATGTATTCTCCCCAAATATTCCTTGTCTTTTACTATTAGGAAATAGTTGTGAGTCAGATAACGTATGGGACAGTGTTGAAGCTTGCAGTAATCTGTGTAGAGTCACATACATGCAACATAGTTACACCATTTTCATGGTACTAGCTTGAGCCAACAAAAGCACGAAAATTTTGAACCTCCTTTCTTGACTCACTATTAAGCTTGGCTGAATGCAGGGCAAATGCAATCTTTTTATGTATCCATCGCCTTCTGTGAAACCCACTGTGCTAAGTGATGCTTTCAGCTTTGACCTTTTCATTTGAGTTTTTGCAACTTAAAAGTTTAATTTTTTTATCCTTATTTTATTTTGGCTCCTCTTAACAAAGAACAAAGAACACTTTCGCCTGAAAATAATTTTGCCACGAAAATTGTGCTTTCTTTGTAAGACAACATGTTTGCTTTCCAAGAGGTGGGGAGACATTTACAAGCACATTTTAAAGCATCAAGCACACACATTCTGATTTTAAAAAATTGGAAAACAGTATGCTCATTTATTAAATGGTTCATATGAGTTTGATTTTGAAACAAATAATTGACTTTTGTTGAAAGAGACTATTTTTATTGCTTGTCTGCATTATCAGGATTTAATGGTTTAAAATGAACAGTGCATTTTGCATCTCTATGTTCCAAATATTTCTACTTATTTTCAAAACTGAGAATACTGGTCTTCTGTGTGTTTGGGTGTGTGAGAGAGGCTAACAGCTTTTGACAAGTTTGCTAATTTGTAATAAGGCATGCCTGCGATAGGAACCAATGATCTTGATTGTTGAATCTGGAGCATTTAGTTACCTTCATTTAAAACTGTGATTTGGTAATTACAGAAAATTTAGAATCAAAATTAATTTTGCTCTTGGCTAAGCAGTTCACCCTCTTCATTCAGTTCTGCCATTTCAATTGAACTGTACAAGTTTACACTGTGCTCAATCTGCAAAACAGAATAAGGAATAGAATTAGAGAGGATTATCAGTTCCTATTATACCCTTAAAATAAAAATCTATTTTAAAATGCATCTATTTTTGGTTGAGAAACATAAGATTAGGTTATTCTGCTGCATCCATTGCCATCACACAGGCTTCTGAGGTTGCAGCAAATTCTACTTCATTTTGCAGGTGCAAATGTTGAAATTTGAGAGGCAAGGCCATCTATTGCTCTGTAACAGGGAACATTTCTTTGCACACCTGGTGCTGATCAAAGTATTGACTGTGTGATAAGCTCTCTGCTCTGAGACATGGCCTTTCATTGTTTATGGAATGCTGCATATTCCACCTCAAACGGTTTTGAAAAATGATTGTGAGTATGCTGCAGGCTAAACAATTGGTTTATATAAATGTAAGAAAACAGTCAATGATATTAGGTCAGTGATTGGTAGGGCACAGAGCTTCCAAAGCTGGCTTGTAGTAAGATGATCTGAAGACATATCAGAATGACAAGCCTTTGATAAGGCAAAGCTCTTTTGCACTTTCCAGTGCATTATAATGTTAGGTCTGTTTAATGTCCTACACATCGGCAATATTTTATTTTGTTAAAAAGAAGAGAAATAAAATTATAATAATATTCTTTTGCAAACCATCTAAAGTAGTGGTTTGCCACTAGATGAGGAAGATGTAAGTTAAACAAACACATACACACAGAGTCTCCAACTCAAATATATCACATATATGACTGTAAAAGGCTGGTTTACATTTTATGGTTTTTTTCCTCCAAATTTTTATTTTTTGGTATCTCATTTTATAACAACAATAATCAGGTGTCGTCAAGTCAGTTCTGACTTATGACAACCCTTTCCAGGATTTTCTAGGTAGACAGCACTCATAGATACTTTATTGTTGCCTTCTTCTGAGTTGGAATGCAGGACTGTGCAGTTTGCCCAAGGCCACATAAGTTGTTTCTTCTCCCTGGCGGCATAGTAGGGAATCAGAGTCAGACACCTAACTCACTGAGTTCATTTCATACTCACATATTAATCAAAACACAGAAGCCAGTGGCTGAAATCCTGTTGTTTGGCATAGTTAAAAATAGAATAGGGCCATTTGAATCAAAGAAACTTGTGGAGAACGTGACTCAGTAAATCTCCAGTGGTTCAGTGGGGCTACTCTAGTGCACCTTGAAAGGTATCTTTTAGTGGATGGACAGTGCATAAATGTGATAAATACATAAATGTATAAAATATTAAAAAGTACACAATGTAGAATTAGGTACTAACCCTGAAGGGGCTTCTGAAATATTACAAACTCACTCTCATGAACACATTGCCCTTGAAGAGAAATAAGATTTTGATATCTGTTCGATACCATCCCAGCAATCACACTCTGAATTTTTGCCATGTCTTACAAGCTGTATTCAGTTTTCAGGCCAAACACACCCACAGACCTCTGAGAAGGAATGGTGTTCCTCTGCACCTCCACCTCCCTCTGCGTAGCTTTCCTCTTCCTCCATGCAATGATTGTTTTCAGCCCTTTGGGTTTCAGTCATGATGGAACCCACATATGGGGAGTGGAGTCATGTGCATACACAGGGGTGAAGTCATGCAAGAGATAAAATTTATTTCAAGAAACCTGCACAGAAAAATGTTGGAAAGGGAATACATAGTTAGCAAGCTTATGCTCATCCAAAACATTATATACCCCTTACCTACAAGTGTAAAGTGCTTACAATTAGGCAGAATATCACAACATTACATACACTTCTGCTATAGCATATCAAAGAGAGTGAGCTATTATAACTCATTTCCTTAGTTTCAATCCTGTCTCTGCCATAAATGAACCAAACAGCCTAAGCAAGCCACACTCTATCTCAGCAGCATTCTCTGGCTACCTACCAGTGGACTGGACTGTGTTGACATGATTCCCCTTTCCTCCTGTGTTCTCTTTAGTTAAAATCATTTAAGAAGGTGGGGGAAGTGGGTAAGGAAGGAAATAATACGTTTTGTTACATAACCGAAGTCAAGTCTTCTGATAATGGCTGGGATTCAGTTTAAATACAAAGTCTGAACACTCTAAAGTACAGTACTGTATAAGTGCTAAATATTACTATTGCCCTAGAGGCTTAAAAATAGAAGCAACTATGGATGCCTAAATGTTCCTACAATGTTCACAAGGTGAGATATAATTTGCAAAAAGGTATGCTATTTATTGATTTAATTTTTCAGTGTCACTGAGGATGGATATTAATCCTTAAATATAAGCTGAAAGTCACTAAAGAGGAATATGAGGCACTAGACCTAGTATAAAACATTTCCTTTTTCTCAGGATTGGGAATTTCTCTGCCTTTTTTTCTTGTTGTGGTCTTGATGGCTCATGGTTAAGGACCTTGTCCACCTCTGCAGACGTCACAGGATGAAACTGAGTAATTCTCAACAGACAAGGCACTGCCCTGGAGGTTTCAGCTCGATCCAGTGTTCTTAAATAGGGTGCAAGATTCTGGCGGATGGCCTCCACTTTTGATTTTAAAATGCTGCAAATTGGTTACAAGAGATGCTTGATGGAGGCCAATCATTGTGGCCAATTCCTGACAGATATACTAAGCAGAAAAGTTCCGCCTGGTGATTGGATGCTTCCCTTATCTGGAAAGTGAAGTAAGCTTTTCTAGCAGCCGTTACCTTGGCAAGGTAGAGTTTAGATGCAACCTTGACAGCTTTTAAGCTGTTTTCCTTCTGATTCCGCCTCCAAATGCTCTCTAGTCTTCCTCTGTTCTGCTTCATAGCCCACAATTGCTGGTTAAACCAAGGCGCTGGTCGGGCTCTGTGGTGGAGAGGGCGTTTAGGAGCGATCGTGTCTACAGCCCTGGCAGTGGTGGCATACCAGCCATCCACCAGGGCCTCGACAGGAGCACCAGCCAGGTCAGTCGGAATCCCACACATGGCATCCTGGAATCCAATAGGATCCAATAGCCTGTGAGGGCGGACCATGAAAATAGGTCTCTCCTCCCCACGTGGGAGTCGTAAGTGTAATCAGAAGACTGGATTATTTTAATATACATTATGTAAATCAGAATCAAAATAACCTAAGAACCTAGTAGAATACCAGAATCCTTTTCATTTCAGGCAATTTATCTCTCAAAGTTACACTGTTAACATTACAGCAGCATAACTATGCAGAAGGATTTTGGCCTATATTATCTAAGAGAAATTATTGTGGACAACATCTGTACAAAGTAGCTATCATTTTAATTGTATGTGAACAAAGTGTGGGGTTGGGGTGGAATTGTGAAA